GATTAGAAAGATTTTTATTTAATCACTAATTTTGTCAAAGAACTACTTAATTTTGCATCATTGCCATTGGACTGTGGGTTTCTTATTTATTTATCCTGTTCTGTATTCTACCTCTTTTTAAAACTAAAAATCCTTAAAGCTACCTAAAATACCAATACCATGAAAGTATCAGCACCCTCTTAGAATCCCCCCACCACTAACCTATTTATCCTGCTCTTCCAGGGCAGAGATCAGCTTGGTGGCGTTATACTGTTATCATTTATCAAACATCTCTGTGTGCGGCTCATAATCCTGTTCCGGGGCTAAAAGAAATATCCTATTCCTTAGTGTCTTATTACGTAACCTTATAATCCATCTGTAGCACAACATGCACCGTAGTGGGCAGAGAGAGCGGAAGGACGCTGGAGTGACTGACAGCACAGGAGGGGTCTCATTCATGGGCCGCAGTGATGCAGATGTTTATGTTGTAGTAAAACTGTACAGATGTGCACAAAATCCTCTTGTATCCATGTGTAATGTAAGCAGACACTTTGGGATAGATTTCCACTTGAGGGATATTTGCTACACAGGACGTGAGCAGATTTAGTCAACAGTTACTGTTTGAATCCAATTTCCCATCCAACATTAAAATGTGTTGTGATTTTAACTGCCTGGTGGTAGCTAGCACAGAAAGCCCAGTGTTTAATACAGTAATATTAGCCACCGCCTGTGGAACATCCTGCCGGAGAGCATTCAGGACTGCAGAGACTGTCGATATTTTTAAAAGAAGATCAAAGACGCACCTTTTTAATCCGGCTTTTAATTGACTTTTTAAATTATTTATCATTTATTTATTTTTTTATCTTGTGTATTTTACATAGGGCCTTCTATATTTGAAAGTTTTTAGTTTTAAGCTCCAGTGTTTCATTGGGGGGGGGGTCCTCCACACTGGGGGCTGTGTCCGGTCTGCTGCTGGGGGTGCTGTTTACGGGTCTCTTCAGCCTGGCTGGTTGGGGGGCTCCCCAGTTTGGTG